AACCCCCCCCCCCCCCCCCCAGAAAAACAGAGGAAAGAAAAGAAGTGGGACTTACTAATAATAGAAGGACAAAAATAGTCGCAACCAAAAACTAAAATATTCCAATTTCCATTCTCTACACCCCTACATCCCTACTGGAAGAACTTTTCAGATCATTATCCTTAATTTAATACCACATTATAGCAATATATCTTTATTTTTAAGAAAGTTACGGGCCTTTGAATTTCACAAAACAACATCAGGGTGCCCAAATAGCTCTGGAGCCAATTCTGCAGTCGTCATTCAAGAAAAGCATACCTGACAGCTACTTTTTAAAATTATTAGTAAGAAGAGTTTTACAGCACTTGCAACACAATTTGGCCATAAAAGTGCCTCGGATTAGAGGTGTTACAAGGGACTAACAAGCACAAAAAAGGAGGAGAGATTAGGACGATGGATATTTTATATGTCCTTATGCAGTAGCGAACCCCGTAAATCACTCACCAAAAAAGAGAAAGAAAGAAAACAGAAAGAAAGAAAGACAGAAGAAAGAAAGAAAGAAAAAGAAGAAGAAAGAAAGAAAGAAAGAAAAGAAGAAAGATAGAAAGAAAAAAAGAAGAAAAAAGAAAGCAAGAAGAAAGAAAGAAAAAAAGGAGAAAAAAGAAAGAAAGAAGAAAGAAAGAAAAAAAAGAAAAAAGAAAGACACAGACATTTACGAGAAGGGAGTCACCTTAAGGCGCGGCAGGAGGTAGAGTCTTCGCTCGATGTTCTTCACCGTCACACAGCAACTGACGTAGGTCTGGGCCGACTCCACGTACACTTTGCCAAACAGATACACCACACCTGGGGGGGGAACAGCGACGTATCAGGTCATAATGCGCCGAGAATTGTGAGGAAGTCAATCAAAAAATGGTCGCTTTTAAGGACAAGCGGGCTAACCCAGATTTCGGGGGTTTCCAGAAATCTTGACCTACACCAAAAGTGGGCATTGCCCTACCTATAGGAGACGTTTGGTTTCACTGGTGTGTTTATTTGTTTGGTTATAGAGAAAACTCTCCTTGCCTTTTAAGATTATCTAGGTCTACCACGCCCCTCACTTCCCCGATGCTGGGATGGAAAAGTCACAACGATATGACTGTGATGGATGGAGCGAATGTGTGACGTGCGCAAGCAGACGGAACGCACCACAGGTTGTGGTGGGGTGGGGGACAACACAGTGGGCGAGTTATTTCTGATTGCCGACACCGAGCTGTCAACATCGCTAGCGCTAGAGAAAGAAACCTTATTCGATTTTTGATCAAGTAAGACTTTAAAGGTCATGTAGAACCAAATCATCATCAGGAGAGATTACAAAAAGAAACGAACAGAAAACCAGACACATAGATTAGGCCTACTGTACTATTTCCCTTGAATTTATTACCGGATCCCTTATAATGAGAATCCTACTATAACGGATGTTTCGCACTGGTCCCCTCCCTCTCGTTATAACAGGATTCCACTGTATTATCCTTTGCTAAGTTGTTATCACTCAAGTGTTAGGAAACAGTAAGTCAGTCAGACAGAAACAAAGAGTAATGAAGAACCATGATCTACCAGGGGGGCCCTCTAACCGTTGTCATTGATGATATGTTTGTTTTAGTAGATGTTTTACGGCGCTCGCAACTGCATACGGTCAGATGAGTGCCAGAAGATTAGAGGTGTTACAGGAGAGTAACAAACATAAAAAAGAAGGAGGGGAGATAAGAACGATAGCTGTTTGACAAGAAAGAATAAGCAAACCACACCAGAACATCCTCCAACCACCCTCTGGAACGACTGGATAAAAGTATCACCTTGGGAGTACACATGATCAAGAGCCGTTTTATGAATAGGTGAGTGTGAGTGAAGAGATGCACATCAACATAATAATGGTTCCAGACAGACAGAATGAGGGAACGAAGTAGGAGTACGATCTACCAGTGGCATCCTCCAACTGGTGCGGATGTTTCGCACTGGTCCCTCCCTCTCGTTATAACAGGATTCCACTGTATTATCCTTTGCTAAGTTGTTATCACTCAAGTGTTAGGAAACAGTAAGTCAGTCAGACAGAAACAAAGAGTAATGAAGAACCATGATCTACCAGGGGGGCCCTCTAACCGTTGTCATTGATGATATGTTTGTTTTAGTAGATGTTTTACGGCGCTCGCAACTGCATACAGTCAGATGAGTGCCAGAAGATTAGAGGTGTTACAGGAGAGTAACAAACATAAAAAAGAAGGAGGAGAGATAAGAACGATAGCTGTTTGACAGGAAAGAATAAGCAAACCACACCAGAACATCCTCCAACCACCCTCTGGAACGACTGGATAAAAGTATCACCTTGGGAGTACACATGATCAAGAGCCGTTTTATGAAATAGGTGAGTGTGAGTGAAGAGATGCACATCAACATAATAATGGTTCCAGACAGACAGAATGAGGGAACGAAGTAGGAGTACGATCTACCAGTGGCATCCTCCAACCACCCAGTGTGTGTGTGTGTGTTTGTGTGTGCGTGTTGAGGTGAGTCTGTGCGTGCATGTGCATGCGTGCGTGTGAGTGAGCGTAAGTGCATGTGTGAGTGAGTGTGTGTGTGTGTGTGTGTGTGTGTGTGTGTGTGTGTGTGTGTGTGTGTGTGTGTGTGTGTGTGTGTGTGTGAGAGTGTGTGTGTGTGTGAGCATATGTGTATGTGTATGTGTGTGTGGATTGAAAAATCTGGCTGGTTGTGTGCCTGTGTGAGTGAGTGTGCGTGCATGCATGCGTGAGTGTGTGTGTATGTGTGCGTGTGTAGATTGACAAACCTGGCTGGTTGAGTGCTTCTGTGAGAGAGTGCGTGTGTGTGTGCGTGAGTAGACTGACAAACCTGGCTGGTTGTACGAGTCCTCATAAGCGTCAAACCAGTAGAAGCGAATGACAGACTCCCCGGCGCTGTTGGTGACCATGGGCAGACTGGACGAGTCAACAGTGACGCCGGTGCCAGGCCCGGCTTGACCGTCCGCCGTCTCCTCGCTGACGTTTTCCCAGCCCACAGAGAGCATCTCATCACTGCAAGCAACACACATTGTCATATGATATATAATAATAAAATAATAATAGCATTTATACTGTGCATTTCCATTTTCTAAAAAAATGCTCAAACAATGCGCATTACATTGAAAAAGACATCACATCTACGTAAAACAAAGTATTATGCACATAATATCTATGTATATGTGTAAAAAATTTCTATGAGAAAAACAGTGTTGCAATAAGGTTCACTAAAAATATACAATGCAATGCAATAAAAATTCACGAAAGGTCACAATAAATTTGAAATGTGAGTAATTAGAAACATTCATTAAAACATTTGTTCTCTACAGATAGAAAAACACTTCTGCTCTCTCTCTCTCACGCTATTTCTTCAGTCTCACAGTCTGGCATACAATTTATAATAACTAGCTGGGCCCACTTTCCATGAAAGAATGATCGGTGCATTTACATCAACAGAAAAGAAAGTTATTGGCCTACTATATTTACACTCTGCTGGAACTGGAAAGGAGAAATAAATTAGAAAGTGTAGATCTATATTCTCAAAACAAAATGTGCCTCGCGAAATATCACTTCTGGCCCTTCAGCTGTGAAGGACAGCTACGCAGATTTGTTTCGTTTCTCAGTGGAATAATCTGTTAACAACAAAGGCCAAAGAGGAATGAGAACTTTTTGTCAAATATATTTTTAAAATTTTTTTTCTAAATTCAGGAAAAGAATCAATAAAAAATCGGGCTCCGTCATGGGGACGTATCTATCTTTTTGCAGGTACTTGCCAACTTTCAACTCTGTAGCTGTCATAATCTTATGGGAAAAGTGGCACATGTGTTTCCATGTTGCCAAACGTATAGTAGTAGTAGATATACAGACGGGGAGGCTATACAAAGTCATGTGCATCTACAGACATAAGTTAAGGACCACTTGCAAAACTGGTAAGACCTAGAGTTAGAGCAAGAGGTCATGTTGAACAAAATCATCACCAGGGGAGATAAAGAGTAATAAACAGAACAACAAAATCATAGATTAGGCCTACTTTATTTCCCTTGAATGTTTTACTGGATCCCTTATAACGAGAATCCTGCTATATACAACGGACATTTTGCACCAGTCCCCTCCCTCTCGTTATAGCAGCAGGATTCCTCTGTATTGGCCTGGAGGTTCTGGCTTCTGGTGGTAAGTGTTTTACAGCGTTCACAACTGCATAGGGTCATATGCAGAGCTGGTTGTAACGGAGTACAAGTAGGCCCCTACTCCAGTACTTTGTATTTACGTTACAATTTTCGGTACTTTTACTGTACTACTACTACTACGGTACATTTTTTAAACCAGTACTTTTACTGTACTCCGATACTTTTTGTAAAAGTACTTATGAGTATTTTTAAAGTACATTTTGAGTACTTGGAAGCTTAATGAAAGGGTAAGTGCCGGCATTTTTGATCATGATTTTCGGAACAAACACCCGGGCAGGCACAGCCGATCAACCAAGAGTTAAAAGTAGAGATCAAAGAACGGCCCGTCGCGTCAAAGATCAGCCACCATCGTGAATGTGATCACAAGCGTTGTAAAACTCCATGAAACGGTACAGTGTTTGCTCCAGACGGAATAACACCAAGGTGTGAACTGACCAATGTGTTTCTTTTCCTCAAACATCGCACTCGCATCTGAGCCCACCACCTTAACTTACATCACTCCCTGGGTGGGTAGGGCCTACAAGTTCGCTACAGGCAGGATCACATCAAACTGTGAACTCTTCCCTGACCATTGAAAGCAGTTTTTCTCTATTCCCGAATTTGCGAGACAGCCTGAATTTTAACTGGTTTGGTGTGGTCACAACGTAATGGTGCGTAACGACAAAGGCGGTTTAGGGGGTGGGGGAGCTCAATCAGAGATGGAAAGCTAAAATTGTTAGACAGGTGAAGGGGAGGGGCGACTGGATAGACGTAGATACAGATCTCAAGACTTACGATCGGCTAATGAGAGTGTATATATTATTTAATTCATGGCATGGGTCATGCCACTGGGTCATCAAGGTTGACCACTCTTTGATTGCCATATGTCATAAATCCACCCAGGGGTCACGTCAGTTCATGGGTCACTGTAGATTCTTCCTTGGCTTCGTCGCCTAAGATCCCATATTTTCCTTGCTTCCGAGCACTGGGATCTTAGGCGGAGACTACTGTAGTAGAGAATCCTTGGTTACACTACACTTACTAGACTCTAGGAAACTACATGTATTTTGGTTTGCCGTGGGCACCGTGGACAACAGAGTGACCAAAATCTGTCTTACCAGTATAATCAATTGAAACTGAAACAATGTTCTCAATGGGTATCTAACAATGTTTTAGGCTGCCTAAATTTCTTTTCAACTTTTTTTGTAGTTTTTGCTTAAGGCTACATTGATTCCTTGAGGATTTGTTCATGAAGAATTCAATGCACTTTTCCATTTCTATGCTGGCCATTTTCATCAATTTTAAGTTTTCTTAAGAGCAACTTTGTATCTACATTTTCCAATGTGGATAATACAATGTACTTTTTCTGTAGAATTTCCGACCTCTTGGACTGACTTACATTTGATCACATTGTCTTGCTCAAACAAGTTCTGTTCATAATATCACTTACTACCCACTAGTTGCGTCTGTTCGTTTAGGTTGGGTTTTTTTTTCAATTTCACGGACCATTTCCACCTTCGTTCAGTGCGTACATTGTATATATATATTCAAATGCTTTGTATACTGTTTACATTTTTAGTAATAAATAGCCTAATTTGTCAAATATATACTGGATATGTTATTCAATATGATGTTTTGCACAAGCGCTGAAGTGTTTTAGCATATTAGCAGAAAGTACGCAATATGTACTCAAAAGTACTTTTTTAAAAAGTACTTGTACTCAAGTACATTTTACAGGAAAGTACTTTTACTGTACTTAAGTACATTTTTTAGATTGTACTTAAGTACTTTTTAAAAAGTACTTTAACAGCTCTAGTCATATGAGTATTATGAGCGCATGGGACACACCAAACATTTTCAATTGGTAGGCAATTTTGAATTTTGGCCGGGTGACGGCCGAAGCCTACTACTCTTATCGTCGATATTGAACCACCAAGGAATCTAACGTGCGCAACTTGCACACGGGGCCTCCGAGATTTTTCACCCTTGTCCAAGAATGCATGGTGTAGATCTTTATCACCAGAAGATCAGGGGTGTTTTTTTATGAGTTTTACGGCGCTCACAACTGCATAAGGTCATATGAGCGTGCGAAACACAAGTTGGTTGCATTCACAACAGTTCATTGCACGACTGGGCTCGGGTCAATGGGCTACATGTAATCAGCAGATATTCAAAAGTTAAAATGTTAAAAATTTGAGGTAGATCAGGGTTGTGGCTGAAAGACAGCAGTAAGAAGGAAGGAGCCAAGGAGTAGCAGCAGTAAAAATGCTGCAGAAAGAGTCATGAGCCCGGTGGAGAAGGTAAAGGAGGTGTGGGGGTGGGGGAAGAAAGTGGAACGAAAGCAGACGATAGAGTATTGCAAGAGAGAAGGAAAGAAGGTGAAAGGAGACAATTTTAAAGAAGAATACAGTCGAACCTGTGTAAGACGGAATCGCAAGGGAGCCAGAAAAAAATTGCGTCTTAGACAGGGGAATTTAGGGGGAGATGGAGGTTCAAAGTAATCAAAGGCCCAGCCGGTGGGATCAAGGATCGCTTGTCCGATCGGCAAGCAGTGGTCAAAATTTCACACTTCTCAATTGCAATATACGTACTGTCTGATAAAGACATGCGTCAGTCTTACTTTTAATTTTATCCAATAACCACCAGCACTAGCCTTCCATACAGACTACTGCTTGACCAATTAAAAACAGAAACGTTTGAACCTCTCCTTTGCTTCCACCCTTAGCCCCACCCACCAATGCCACCCCTCACTGCCATCATTCAACATTGTAATAACAAACAATTCGAGGAGCTCTTTTCTCGGCTGGCTGTACGAGCAGGCATTGGTCCATCTAATTTCACACCTCTGGCTACCCAGGAAAGTTTCTGTAGTGGCTCGCTACTGGAACACTCTCACAGGCAGTCGTCAAATCTCATATCCACAATACCCTGACCATCTGCATCATTCAGGACTCGCATGATGGGGTAATATTAAGGAGCTTAAAACTGTAAACTCCTTGGGTAATATCTACCCCCCAAATAGCATGGCCATAGCGTTGAGCCGGCGGAACCAATCTTGCGAGTTTTGTTTCAAATCGGGGCTGAGCGGGAAAAGCATTTTCCGTCTTTGACTTAAGACAGGTGAAACCCTCGAAAGGGAGCGGATTTTTCTTTCCGTTTCCGCGTTGTACATGTTTTCGTTTTTATACAGGTAATTAAAGAGGAATATATCAAGGGGGGAGCGGGGAGATTCCGTTATGACAGGATTCCGTTTTATACAGGTTTCCGTTAAGGCAGGTTCGACTGTATTTTTCGGTCTCTACCCAGATTCGAACCCAGGACCTTTGAATGAGAGGCAAACACCTTAACCTCTAGGCCACGAGAGCCCCTGCCTGGAGGCTCTTTGTTTTAGTAAGAGTTTTACGGCACTTGCAACACAATAAGGTCATATAAGTGCCGAAGATTAGGGGTGTTACAAGAGAGTAACGAACACAAAAAAGAAGGAGGAGAGATCAGGACGATAGAGGTTTGATAGGAAAGAAGGAGCAAACCACACCAGAGCACCCGCCAACCACCCACCTGGAGGCTCTACTCTACACTGGAGAAGTGCAGAAAGCCCCCAGAGTGAGGCAGTCCTTGGTTTTGTACAGGGTCTAGCATTTTTAATCGGTCACTTTTAAGCACAAGGGGGCTATCCTGAAAAATGCTGTTTTGAGAAAATCAAAGGTAAAGTTTTTTAACCCTTATTCAGTTTCTTTAAAAGACAAGGAGAGTTTTCTCTAAAACAAATACTATAGGCCTACAAACCAATAAAACCAAACTTCTCTAGGTAGGGCAATGCCCACTTTTGGTGTAGGTCAAGATTTCTGGAGGAAAGCCCTGAAAAAAAAATCTGGGTTAACCTGCTAGCCCTTAAAAGCAACTAATTGAACTAATTAAGATGTGTAGGGTCTTGCAGATCCAGACTTGACATGCCCCATTATGTGTTTTAGCTGGATGTTTTTGTTAATAGTATTTCTGTCATTATGTCATGTGCAAGACAGGAGTGCACCACATTAAGTTGGAACTTTTTTCTCCTCAGCATTTTTATTGTCAGAAATTAACATCCCCTTCCCCCTTTCTCTATAGGCCTACTACTGTTACTATTAGCTAGTTTTTGTTTTTGGGTTTTTTTTCCCAAAACAGTAAGTTGACAGGACATGCATAAAAAATTCCGATTTCAGAGAAAATTTGATCTGACACATTTACATACGTTTTCTCATTAACACTTTTCCTGGAGGGTAACATCAAAACAAAGAGCCGTTTTTGTTAAGTTAACTTTGACTCAGATCAAACCCTACCGGTCGATAGCCAGAAGATTTTGCCACACCAACAAGCCGAATACAATGCAGTACCCAATGCCAGTGATACTCTACCACCCATGCTCTGTGCCCATACGGCGATCTGATTTCAAGAAAATAGTGAGGAAAATTATAATTCTAACTTGTGTTTAGTTGAGACCCGCTATCCGCATGGTACGGGTGTTAGAACTTAGAAAACAAAGTTGCCAATATACAAATAAAATATAGCAGCACCATCAGGGTGAGGCAAATTGTACTGGCTGTCTTTTTCATGTACTTTCATCTCTGCCCAACTGTACGACGGATTCTCAGGCTGCTCTTTTGTATTTTTTGTTTTTAACACTGGGAGCCATTTAAGAGCAATAAAAGAGTGACTTCAATAATTATCGAAAAAATTTTGTTTGTATATATATAACCCTTTCACACATGCTAACTTCCACAAAGCATGAGAAAAGCTGACCAAAAAAAAGTACCAGTTGTTTTTAGTTTAGTTTTAGTAAGAAGAGTTTTACAGCACTAGCAACACAATAAGGTCATATTAGTGCCGAAGATTAGAGGTGTTACAAGAGTGTTACTCATTGTTAGTTTTAGTAGAGGTTTTACGGCGCTCGCAACTGCATAAGGTCATAAGAGCGCCAGAAGATTACAGGTGTAACAAGAGAGTAACACATCTATCATCCTTATCTCCCCTCCTTTTTTATGTTTGTTACTCTCTTGTAACACCTGTTATCTTCTGGCGCTCATATGACCTTATACGGTTTGATAGGAAAGAAGAAGCAAACCACATCAGAGCACCAGCCAACCACCTACCACTGTTGTTTTCCACATCCCAGCAGACATACAGTCACAGAGGAGTTATATAATATTCTAAAATAACTCTGCCTTATGTAAGGAAACTTCTGTGTGCATTATCAAATAGCCAGAATACAGTCGAACCTGTTTAAGGCGGAATCGCAAGGTAGCCAGAAAGACATTTTCCGTCTTAGACCGGGGAATTTAGGGGGGGGGGGGGGGGATTTCAACGGCCCAGCCGGAGGGATCAAGGATCACTTGTCTGGTCGGCAAGCAGTGGCCAAAACTTCACACCTCTCAACTATTCTCTCTGATAATGACAGGTGTCAGCCTTACTCATCCAATTACCACCACACGGCTTGCATTTCACAGGATTACTGTTTGACCTATTAATAAAACAGAAACGTTTGGACATCTTTGCTTCCACCAATCCACCCTTAGTAACAAGCACAGTCAACCAATGCCACCGTACGATCAGGGCAGCAGGCATTGGTCAAAGCACATTGTAATTTCAATCCTCTGGCTTCTTGCTACCCAGGAAACTTTCCATGGTGGCTCGCTACTGGAAAACTTTCACTGGTACTGGTACTCGTGATTTCTCAACCACACCACCCTGACTATCTATCTGCTTACGTTTAGTTTTAGTAGAGGTTTTACTGCGCTCGCAATTGCATAAGGTCATGAGCGCCAGAAGATTAGAGGTGTTACAAGAGAGTAACAAACACAAAAAAGAATTGAGGGGAGGTAAGGAAGATAGGCGTTTGATAGGAAAGAAGAAGCAAACCACACCAGAGCACCCGCCAACCACCCACTGACCATCTGCATCGTTCAGCGATCACATAGACTGGGTAACATCTAGATCTACCTCCAAATTGCACCCCTACTCCCCTTCCTTGCCCGGTGGCATGGCGTTAAGTTTAGAGCCGGCAAAACCACACTTGCGAGTTTTGGGCTGAGCGGGCAAAGCATTTTCCGTCTTAGACAGGTAAAACCCTCAGAAGGGAGCAGATTTTTCTTTCCGTTTCCGAGTTGGACAGGTTCTCGTTTTATACAGGTAATTCATCATCATCATCCAGTGCCAGATCTGCGGCAGACATTGGCGATCATGATTTTCCATTCACTCCTTTGCTCGGATGCTCTCAGAAGAGCTACGTTTCCCTGATTTTTCCCTGTTACCCATTTGTTTAGGTTCCCTAAGTATGTTGTTCTGGGCCTACCCTTGCCTCGCTTGCCCTCAATTTTGCCAGTGAGAGCTAGATGTTCAAGCTAGATGTCTATTCAGGTGTCCCAAAAACTGCATTTGTCGTTTCCTGATTGTTTTTAACATTGAGCGTCCCACGTGGGCTTCATCAAGCACTACCTCATTTGATTTCTTTTCCTTCCACGATACCCTTAGCAGTCACCTAAGAAACCACATTTCAGGTAATTAAAGAGGAATATATCAAGGGGGGAGCGGGGAGATTCCGTTAAGACAGGTTCGACTATATGATCTACATAACAAAGATTCGGCTGCCCATATTTATCAATGATGACATTTTAATGCCCCCATCGACATGATATGTACTATGTACTTAGGAGGACCATTGTACACAATCTGAGGGTGCATAGTGCATCAGCAACACCAAAGACTACTAATCAGTAGTAGTTTCAGCTGTGTTGTTAACTGTTGTACTTCTGGGTCAGACGAAAGAAAAGGCAGAAGATGATGCAGTGAACCTATGAGCATTATTTCACCTCATGGGAAAGGAACAATGGAGCAACCATTATTCTTTTAAAGCGAAGGCGGTGCAGTTTACACTGGCCAACTATGGTCAACATCTTCATCCCATCAACTATTTGACTTTTTTTTTTTTATCTTCCTATCAGAGAAGCGTGGATCCTCAATAAATATCTTTCCCCACAAAGGAATTTCAATGTGCTTTGCGTGTCAGGGGGTCAACTAATTACGCTAGATGCCAGAAAAACTGGTCAAATGGTGTTCCAATGAACCAAAAACCAGACAAAATGTGATCTAAACAACCTGGGCAACAGGTCATAAAGAGCCGGAAGATTGGGCATTGCAGGAGATGAGACAAAAAAAAAAAAAAAAAAAAAAGAAGAGAGATAAAACTATAGGTCTCATAAGAAAAGTATTTTTAGTATTAGGAAGAGTTTTACTGCACTTGCAACTCAAGAAGGTCATATAAGAGCTAAAGATTAGAGGTGCTACTAAGTGCTGAAGATTAGGTGTTTTACAAGACAGTAACAAACACAAAAAAGAAGGGGAGATAAGGACGATAGATGTTTGATAGGAAAGAAGATGCAAACCACAACAGAGCACCCACCAACCACCCACGAGGAGCTAGCTAGGAGAAGAGAAAACGGCAAACCTGATCAGAGGTTTGGTCGCTCTTTCTGACACGGAGGCAGGTTTGGCTGATGGTTTCTGCACCTCCTCCACCTCTTCATCAAAATCGATGCCAGACAGATCCACAGAATCTGCCCCCACACCTGCAACAGACAAAATGACCCGTGTCTGTTGCGCAACATTTTAAAAAAAGATGATCAGATGGGATGATCGTGAAAGATGAGAACTAGTTCTAGAGAGAAGAATCACCAATGATTGATGAGAACAAAGCATGAAGATAAAGGCAAACAAGTAGACCCCAGTGCTAAAAGTCTAAGCTGGCCCACTGATCTGATGTTCAAGGCTTCAAAATAAAAACAAACAAATGTGTTATATTTTGTTAATGTTTATTTTCAATCCCAAGTCTTTTTTTTTTTAATTTACTTGGAATAAATCAAAATCAATAATAGATGCAGACAAGTTGACATCACCCAGCACAGACACCATGCACAATAGGATCACAACAATGCCACAACATCCCATGAGACAACATAAAGGAACAGGAACAATGACTATTACGCACAACAACAAAAACACAAAAAAGCTCCAAAGCTAAGGGGAAAAAACTTGGGGATGATAAGACGTGATGAGTGACGCGGTGATGAAACGTGTCAGGATGAGGATCAAGTCGTCAAGGGCCAACAAATGGCTGTGATATGAATCCAATGTACATAAACCACAAGCTATTTGTTGATTCCAGCAACTTTGGACAGGATCTTGCTCTCAGTCTATCCCATCCATGATCAGGTCAGTATCAAACAATGGACAGGTATTTTACTCTCAGCAATCCATCTTTAGTCAGGAGGGGAGGGGGTAGGTAGTAGGTAGGAGGGACACTGATATCCCAGGAGGACAAGATGCCAAAACCTATAAATTATCAGTAGGAAGTTGGGTACCGAGATCAACAGAAACTCCACGGCGGACATCTTAGAATTGGTCAGTGGCGGTAAAGCTGAACAAAATTGCTCATCAAACTGGCTGTGATGTGTCTATGGTCACCAGCACATCCAGATTGACAAGCCATTTGGTCTAGCTGTCTCACAGCAAAGAATGTTGGGGGAAAAAAGTATGACAAGTCTGCACACGTTAACCATCCATGGATTTATTTTTAGTAAAACACCACAATATACAAGTTTTATTACGAAGGCCACAAAATAAATCAGAACAAGCTCTCAAAAACCAGCAACGAAAAGCAGACTGGGCACAACAACACAACCAACAGTTGGTCACTTCAGTCAAATGAAGTAAAGACATGGGCACAAATCTAGATTGCTGCGATGTCACAACATGGCAACGTTGCCCTTCAAACTGGCTGTGATGAGTCCATAGCACCATGACAACCAGAAAGCAGGACAACACGACCACTCTTCCAATTCCAGCCAGGAAGGATACGCTCCCTGTGCAACATCTTGAAAATCAAACGGGTAAAAGTGTAAAAATAATTGCATTAATATTGCTCATTACCACGCTCCACAGCAAGCACTATGCAATGCACTATACAGCTACAAGTGCACTAAATTTTGTAACAAACAGACGACACCGCAAGACAGATCAGAAAAAAAGTTTGTGCAGAATTTCGAGAACATAGCAGCCCATCTAAATTACTGTGATATGACGTTTGCTACATGTCACAGTACTTAGACGGAGTGAGACATTCAAATACTGTATCACCTACGGCAGCCTGCGACGAGGCAGCTTTGCTTAGCTTGTCGTTGACGAATCCGTTTGCCTCCAGTGACTGTCACATACGACGATCATGCTCTCCTCCCCCAAGAATGATTGTGATACGATTGACAGGCATATCCCAAACCATTACCAGGGCAGGAAAGACACAAAAAAAATGTATAAAAATTCACCAACAACAAAACTAAGAAAGTTCAGTATTGTACACCAGCATTGGAGTCAAAATTTCTTAGAAACCACAAAAGAAATCCACCATGCAGTAGAAAAAGGACTAATGACTGCAAAAACTACAAGATTGTTACGGGTTAGTAGGTAGTTCACAAAAATATCGACTCAGTTCTGGTCACAGCGATTGTTGGTGATAGGAGCAGCAGAGACGTCTTTTCAACACCCAATCACCCCAGAAATGATTGTGATATGAAATTTTTTTAAACACATTACAATCATCTTCAGGGAGACAGGACCTGATTCGTTCAAAATCATGACACTGCAACAAGAAACAAAACTAATGTTCTTTTCTTCTTCCAACTGACAAACGAACTGGCTCGGAGCAGGACAACTGAACATAACTAATGAATGAAAAAACAAAGAAAAGATCAATATCCACTCTGTGACAAAGTTAAACACACAACACTGGAAAGTGTAATATCCTCTCTGATAATGTAAAGCACTCACAATGGCTACATCCCCTCCCCTCCCTCTTTGACAATGATAAACACACTCACACACAGCAATATCCCCTCTTTGACAATGATAAACACACTCACACACAGCAATATCCCCTCTTTGACAATGATAAACACACACACACAGCAATATCCCCTCTTTGACAATGTATGTTCCTGAACACACCGCAACACCCCAAGAGGGATGTGATATGAAATCTCCCAACACATCACTATCTCCATTGGGGCCTCGCAGCCAGTCTACATTAGGGGACTTCAGGGTTAAGAAAAAAACAATGTGAAAACAAAAACAAAAACAAACAATGTTACTTGAATAAAGACTACGTGACACCATCGGGGAAAAAACCCCTACCATTCAGATATTGCCCCTGAGAAGAAAAAAAGCATGAAAACAAAAACAAAACAAAAAACTTGTCTTAGTCTTGAAAACCCTTCAGCGACCTTGCTCTTCTTCAGACAATGGTTATGTAACAAAACCTGACGCAGTGAGAAAAGAAGCAGAGAGCAGGAAGTTCCTATCTCACCGACTTATCACTGGAATGTGATATGATACTCTGCCAGCACATCACATCCAGTTCCAAGCAGACAAGCGAAGGATAGAATGCTCGGCGAGTCGTCAGTCGTGTCGTGTCACTTCTCAATAGACGAGGAAACAAATTGTACATAAAAATTGTGCACGGCCGAAGGAAGAGAAGAACTTTCCGGATCGACTTATCACTGGATTGTGATATGGCCCATTTCAACACATCACATCCAGTTCCAAGCAGATACAGGAAAGATAGTGTACAATCGTTTGTACCTGGCCAGTGTGATCCTTAAAAAAAAAATGGATGAACTCGAGTGGCAGCGCTTTCCAGGAAAGAACCTTCCACATCCACTTATCACTGGATTGTGATATGGCCCATCTCAACACATCACATCCAGTTCCAAGCAGACGCAAGAAGGACAACGTACAATCTTGTGCACCTTGGCAGAGTGGGGTCTTCAAAATGGGGGATGACCTCGAGACAAGTGTAGTGCTTTTCTGGACAGGACCTTCCACATCGACTTATCACTGGATTGTGATATGGCCCACTACCAGCACATCACATCCAGTTACAAGCAGACGCAGGAAAGAATGAGCACTTGAAGACCCGGTCCGGCATACCAGGATTTGGTCATCTTGCAAGAATGTGTACTTGTGGGCTTATTTGTATGTCAGCAAAATTGTGCGAGCGGAAAACTTTCAGAATCGACTTATCACTGGATTGTGATATGGACCAAATCATCACATCAAACCCAGTTCTAAGCAGACATGAAAAGCGGCACAAAACATCCTACTGAGCTTATACACAAGATATCAGAATCCAGACTAAATGGAGAGATGCATCGTCATCGACTTATCACTGGACTGTGATATGGTACATATCAACACATCACATCCAGTTCTAAGCAAACAACAGACGGTCTGATAAATCTTTAGTTCCTATAAAAAGATTTACAACAATAAAGTGCTGATGATTTGGGTGTTACAACATAACATTAACACAAAAATGGAGAGATAAGAATGAAAGGCAAGAAGGAGCACAACCACACTAGAGCACCTGTCAACCACCCACACATATTGTCAATGGTATCTCTTTAATAGAAGGTATTTTGCTTCAATTCTGAACAGTCAACAGTCTCTCACAATGCTGGGAGTACACCTTCCAGATCGGCTTATCACTGGATTGTGATATGGAAACATTCTAAGCACATCACAATCAGTTCTAAGGCGACCGAGTAAGGGTTTAGACACAAATCAGGAAAAAGAAAAGCTAAAGAAACAAAGACAAGTCGTATTAAATAACTCGACTGCCCCACAACTTACCAAAAATATACAACATGATAAACAAAACAAAGAACATGCAACGCTAGAAGAACGCTACTGAATAATACACAACCTATTGGTGATCCTGTACGACAAAACTTGTACATCAGAAACACTGACAATTCACAAAACCAGAATCCTAGAAACACACTGACAATTCAGATCAAACTGAACGATCAGAACACACAATTCACAACTTGGTGATCGTGTAAGGCAACACAAAAGCATCAGAACACACCATGACATTTCAATACTAGGTGAACATCACATACGAGAAACTTACGCAGCAGAATACGCCGTACTCGCTTATCACTGGATTGTGATATGAGTAGAGAACATAATTCACAATCAGTCACAAGGAAGCACAGAGCACAAGGTATATTATGTGGGAGCTGCAATTTTGAATAGGTTTCACGACACTATCAACTCGCTGCGAGCTGCAAAGCCACCATGTGATTGTGTGCAGCAAAACACACCGTACTCGCTTATCACTGGATTGTGATATGAGTAGAGAACAACATAATTCACAATCAGTCATAAGGGAGCACAGAGCACCCACATATACTTCAGGAGCTGTAATTTGTTTGTTTTGAGTAGATGTTTTACGGCACTTTCCACTCAGTTTTGCTGGGAGCTGTGAAGACAGCCCATCCACTGATTGAGAGCAGCAGAATACACCGTATACACCGTACTCGCTTATCACTGGATTGTGATATGAGAACAGAACAACATAATTCACAATCAGTCATAAGGGAGCACAGAGCACCCACATATACTTGGCAGCTGCAATTTGAGTAGGATTTTTACGGCACCAATGACCCAGTCTTGCTGGGAGTTGCGAAGACAGTCCACCCACCTTGTGACTGTGCGCAGCAGAATACACCGAACTCGCTTATCACTGGATTGTGATATGAGTAGAGGAACAACATATTTCACAATCAGTCATAAGGAAGCACAGAGCACCAAAGCATACTTGGAAGCTGCACATCTAAAGCTCACCCACTGATTGAGAGTAGCAGAATACACCGTACTTGCTTATCACTGGATCGTGATACGAGTAAAGTTACAACATAATTCACAATCAGTCACAAGGAAACACAGAGCACAATGTATATTATGTGGGAGTTGCAATTTTGAATAGGTTTCACAGCAATATCAACTGAAGTCTTGCTGGGAGCTGCAAAGCCACCATGTGATTGTGTGCAGCAGAATACACCGTACTCACTTATCACTGGAATGTGATATGAACAACATAATTCACAATCCGTCATAAGGAAGCACAGAGCACTAACATACACTTGGCAGCTGCAATTTAAGTAGGATTTTTACAGCACCAATGACCCAGAGTCTTGCTGGGAGCTGCACAGCCCACCCACTGATTGAGAGCAGCAGAATACACCGTACTCGCTTATCACTGGAATGTGATATGAGTAAAGTTACAACATAATTCACAATCAGTCACAAGGAAGCACAGAGCACCAACATATACTTGGCAGCTGCAATTTGAGTAGGGTTTTTACGGCACCAATGACCCAGTCTTGCTGGGAGCTGCAAAGCCACCATGTGATTGTAAGCAGCAGAATACACCGTACTCGCTTATCACTGGATCGTGATATGAGTAGAGTTACAACATAATTCAGAATCAGTCATAAGGAAGCACAGAGCACCAAGGCATATGTGGGAGCTGCAATTTTGAATAGGTTTCACGGCACTATCAACTCAACTCTTGCTGCGAGCTGCAAAGCCACCATGTGATTGTGTGCAGCAAAACACACCGTACTCGCCTATCACTGGATTGTGATATGAGTAGAGAACAACATAATTCACAATCAGTCATAAGGAAGCACAGAGCACAAACATACTTCGGGAGCTGTAATTTGTTTTGAGTAGGTGTTTTACGTCACTTTCCACTCAGTTTTGCTGGGAGCTGTGAAGACAGCCCACCCACTGATCGAGAGCAGCAGAATACACCGTACTCGCTTATCACTGGAATGTGATATGAGTAGCGTTACAACATAATTCACAATCAGTCATAAGGGAGCACAGAGCACCCACATATACTTGGCAGCTGCAATTTGAGTAGGATTTTTACGGCACCAATGACCCAGTCTTGCTGGGAGCTGCGAAGACAGTCCACCCACCTTGTGATTGTGCGCAGCAGAATACACCGTACTGGCTTATCACTGGATTGTGATATGAGTAGAGGAACAACATATTTCACAAACAGTCATAAGGAAGCACAGAGCACCAAAGCATACTTGGAAGCTGCACATCTAAAGCTCACCCACTGATTGAGTGTAGCAGAATACACCGTACTTGCTTATCACTGGATCGTGATACGAGTAGAGTTACAACATAATTCACAATCAGTCACAAGGAAGCACAGAGCACAAGGTATATTATGTGGGAGTTGCAATTTTGAATAGGTTCCACAGCAATATCAACTGATGTTTTGCTGGGAGCTGCAAAGCCACCATGTGATTGTGTGCAGCAGAATACACCGTACTCGCTTATCACTGGAATGTGATATGAACAACATAATTCACAATCCGTCATAAGGAAGCACAGAGCACTAACATACACTTGGCAGCTGCAATTTTAATAGGATTTTTATGGCACCAATGACCCCGAGTCTTGCTGGGAGCTGCGAAGACAGCCCACCCACTGATTGAGAGCAGCAGAATACACCGTACTCGCTTATCACTGGATTGTGATATGAGTACAGAGAACAACATAATTCACAATCCGTCATAAGGGAGCACAGAGCACCAACATATACTTGGCAGCTGCAATTTGAGTAGGATTTTTACCTCACCATTGGCCCAGTCTTGCTGGGAGCTGCACAGCTTACCCACACTTAGCACTGCCATAATACACCGTACTCGCTTATCACTGGACTGTGATACGAGTAGAGAGAACAATTCAGTCATAAGGAAGCACAGAGCACCAAAGTATACTTGGGAGCTGCAAACCTATCTTGAGACTCGCACAGATACAACTCAAACATCGGCAGAAAGTAAAGATACAACTCAAACATGTAGCAAAACTACAAACTTTAAAGACAAAAGGAACATAAAGAACACACTTGAAGCTGCAAAGATACAACTCACCATTTTGTGACACCCAGACACAGCTCACCATTTTGTGACACCCAGACACTGCCCACCATTTTGTGACACCCAGATACAACTCAAAAACATCAGCAGAACATACAAAACTACAAACTAAGTCTGAAGAACATAAAAACACGAAAACTGACCAGTATAGCGACAACTCGGTTGTGAAGATAACACAAAGAGGGTGGGGGGGGGGGGGGGGGGAGGGGGTAGAAAAGTGACTGTGCCTTTTTGGCCTATCATTGGATGTGATATGTGTATACATCCACAGCACACCCAACAACGGGGCAATACAGCAGTCAAAGTCTTAAGTCCAAAAGTAACCATTTGAAAGACTGGTATTTGCGCTAAGGGAAAAATTGATGCAGTCATATACAACAAAGACTAGTGTCCAAAAGTAACTATTTGAAATATTGGTATTCGTGCAAAATGGAAACTTGTTACAGAGCAGTATAACAAAAATCACCTTGGAGACTATGTTGGAGACTATGTACTCGGCAGAAGACGACACTCAAATACTAACCAAAAAAAATAGGGGAAAACATCAGATCCGCGCACTTTTGAGAAAAAACTATCAAAGCCTCACACTATCAGAGGCGTGCACTTTTTTGCGATATCTATACAATTAGACTGCCGATGACCAAAACAGTACCCTCCAATAATTCAAGTACCCTCTGGTTTTTACTGGGCTTGGGACCAGATTTTTAAAAAACATATCTACAGGATATGGGGCAATCTTTAAAATTCGCTTAACATCATCAGCAGAAAAGACAAAACATATTTGTATGGGGGCTGTACAGAATAGTTTTTGTGAATGGGACTATAACCGTTGGATGGAATCGGCAATCTAATTGTATTGATATCGTCAAAAAGTGAGCGGCTCTGATAATGAGCTGCTTTGAAAGTTTTGTCGAAAATGCGCAGCTCTGGAGTTTCCCAAAGGTAGGCATCTCGAAATCATCTCTGCTACAGAGGTAGGAGCCCCTCCCACCAAGCCCATCTGTTGGCTGTGATATGATCTGAGAAGGAACACACATCACCAGCTACCAAATGGGATGGGTAGAAGAGAATATCACCTAAAATATTTACAAACGCTTGCTTGATATTCATTATTAAAAGTATTTGCTTTTTTAAACTGGGTATAAACTGCCATAAAAAAATTCTGTGCATCAAGAAGGGAAAAGCCATTATTCCCGCCCGTCTAATGTCTGTGATTTGAGTTCTTCAACAAGTCACAGAAATCAGACAGGAAGGACCATGGGTAGGAAAAGAACCCAAAACAAGACATACCAAATACAAAAACATCTAAACCAAAAGAATTCTCATAAGTCGTTAACAAAATAAGACAAAACTACATGAAGGAAACACCTAAGAAAAGAAGATACTCAACCACTTCCTGTCCGGCAATAAAAAAGTCAAGGCGTGACAGCTCTTTGCCCATCTATTGACTGTGATTCAGGCACACATTTCGAACTCACAAGCCAACAGCCGGGGAAAGAAAATGTCTGTGGTCACCAAAATGCTAGCACAACAGAAAGACTGCCCCTCTACAGAACCAAGAATCAACTTGCACTATGTAGAAGGTCCCTGCCATATGAGACAGCAAAGTCTGCACACCAGCTTATAAGACAGAATTGAGCAGAACTCAATCACCAACACTGAACACTTCTCAAAACATAACAGTACAAGCTGTAAAAACTGAAGGCTGCTCTTGTCTCCCTTGACAAACAATCTCTCAACAACAAAAAGGTGAACTCCACTCAGCTATGAACATCAGATCAGTTGGCTACACCGTATAACCCATTACAGAAAATCACCTCTTGCAATCTACACCCCCCAAAAAAAAAATACAAAATGGCTCAAAAGTAGAAACACTAATGGAAAGAAAAAATTGGCCCCTCATTATTCAGCATTCAATGTCACCTTGCACCCAGTTAGAACTGACAAAAATGTCATTTCAATATTTCCAATTTATAATGAAAGTTAGAAAATTATGTTAATCATATGTGAGGCAGCGTAGTGGAATCAGGCTCTCGTCAAAATAATAAAATCGAAGAAAACAGCAGTCTTCTCCCTGCTTAGCAATTTATTATCAAATTTGGGGGGGGTTTTTGGCTCAACACCTGTTATGTCCATTTACAAACACATTCCTTTGAGGATTTCACCGAAAACGATTAAAGGCGCAAAAATATAAATTTAGTTTCGATGGACTCTCCATCTTTGGAATTTACCAGGCTTTGGCAGCCATTTTCTCACTAATTTTTACCTCTTAAATCAGGTGACCCCCACCTCCTTCAATCCAAAATATCTCCACTTCTATTAAAGATGGATGGGTAATTTTTTCATTGAAAGAAAGACAAATGAACAAGCTTTTAGACGATACCAATAACTCAATATGCCCAAAAATTGACGAGAGCCTGATTCTACCACGCTGCCTCACATGTGGAACACTTACTTATATCCCATGTCTTTCACCACTACCCTTGTTATACTAATGTTTTATACTTTATCTTAAGTGACTCCCCACCACCCTCATTCAAGTGAAAGAAACACAAACCTGCATCCATGTCTTCTTCCACAACAGACTCGTCCGCTGCCTGAAGAACATCGTCATCATCATCATCCTGCATCACTTCATCTTCCGGCTCCTCTTTCACAGTGACCTGAGTCTCAGCCCCAGATTTCGTAGATCGGTCAGTTTTGCTGTCCAGAGGAGCTACTGAAGGACTGCTGGAGTAGGAGAGCTCTCGCTTGATGCTTTTCCCCTGAGGAGTTTTGTTGGCTTTGGGTCGAGCTGGCAGTTTGGTCTCCACTTTGAATGGGTTGTACGCCGCAGGCCTGGGAGAAAATGTGGACAAAATGTAAAGACAATGAGTCTACCAGGAGAAATATGTCTCACGAGACAGCAGACTTAAGACTGCCATATATACTAACAGGATTAGTTAATGTTAAAAAAAAAAATAGTACAAAGTACATTCACAGAGAAATTTTGCAAAACATTTAAGCAACTTGTGAGCAAGGGTATACCAGCGTAAGCGGAATTTAAAGACTGATACCCCGTCATTTTAGTCTGCAGCCAATCACATTTCTTCTCTGAGCCCTTTTCATTGTCTACATTGAGCATGCACACTGTCATGTCCTTTTTTAACACCATCCAGCCCTCTCACATTCTTAACATTCCTGGAGGTTCTTAACTGCGGGAAATTATGTCCACCTCATATCCAACATCTGACATGGGAGGCTCTCCAATGTTAGTAGTATAAATGTAATCAAAATCAATTTTTCACTATCCTTTTTTTTAGTATAAAACAAATAAACTCACTCAATACCTCTCAGCTATGTAAGGTTACTTTACCATTGTTCATTTTTTTTTTTTAACTGACTGGTGTAAACGCACCTTAAGAATATATAAGGACATGTAGCGTGAACACACCTTAATAATAATTATTGTGACGTAGGCCTAAGGGACATATCACGTGACTGATTTCATGCAAGCAGTGGGAAATCTGAAGGTCACTCTCACTGAAGCCGAAGCGAGTAACATCGGCTAACGAAGAACTAGCAGACGACCAGCAAGTGGGGCCCCACCAACATCAACTATCATCTAGATCTACTACTCCAAGGCTCAATTATTAAGTCGTAACATAACACTGAACAACATACTAACAGAGTTACACTGGAATATTATCAATCCCCCCACCACAAACCACAAACACACACATCATTCTGCTCAACTTACTTTTTCTGCTTCTGAGAGGGGGCTCCCAACTTGACCGTCGGCTTCCCTGAGGGAGCAGAAGAGTTCAACTCTCCCATCAGACCGTCCAGAATGTCATCATTGGCCAAACTGACGTCTTTCTGTAGTAGTGGGGGGGAAATGTGTGAGGCATTGTGGTAAAATCAGACGCTCGTCAAAATACTGAAATCGAAGTAACCGGCATTTTTCCTCCATTTAGGAACTTTTTATCAATTTGTTATTTGTGCAAAATGTGGAAATTTTCATCGTGATAGCCACAGCAGCAAGATTCTTAATACAAATAATAATGCACTCAAATGCTGAAGAAAAAAGTTTCGAAAGAATAAACCATGAACCTTCTTTACGGGTACTGCAAAAATCCTTACAGGTCATGAAAATGAAGAAGTGCCTGTGAATTAAAGTCAAATCTTAGAACTTTATCAGGCTATAACACTATATAAGTGTTGTTTATGCCATACATCAAGTGAAATCTATTTTTAGGGCACTTAAAACACAATAAGGTCATATAAGTGCTGAAGATTAGAAGTGTTACAAGAGAGTAACATAAAAATGAGGAGGAGATACAGGATGTTCGATGGGAAATAAGGAGCAAACCACACCAGAGCACCCACAAACCACCCACGAAAATGTAATGGATACAATCATTTACCTCTGACTTTTTCTTGGCGCCTCCCGTAGCAGCAGCTGCCGCAAACATGGACTTGATGTCTTGTTTTGGCTTTGTGCCGGGACGAACAATGTTCTTATTCCTTTTCTTTTCTCCTTTTTTCTCTGAAAAGACAACATGACAAAAGAATTAAGAGCTTTATTATTAAAAACATTGTCATAATTTTTTTTAATGGCAAATGAAAAGCTGACTATATTGGTTCCTTCAAATTCTAGCTTACATTTTACACACAACAGGCACAAATAAGGCTCACCCAGCAAGACAAGCATTTGTAAAAGGCTGCACTGAAAAGCTAAGGAATAATTACAAAAGTAGAGTACGAAACTAAATTTTTTTAAAAGATCCCTACTAATATAACATTAATCTGCAAGTTCCTTGAGAAAGACAGTAGTAATGCACCATACAAGATTTCGTTCACTACAAAGGAATGTGCATCCAGAACCCCAAAACTCACTTGAAACAGAACCGGACGGGGCATCCTCATCCATATCGTCGTCAAATATCTCCCGACCATCTTCAACATACCCGGCACCATCTGAAGAGAGATGAGTATAATTTTTCAGGTACTTGACAATGCCTAACTCAAAACATGATAAGCATAGAAGTGACATTAACACTTTTAGTAGTTATAGTAAGTGTTTTGCGGCACTTGCAACACAATAAGGTAATTTATGTGCCGAAGGTGTTACAAGAGAATAACAAACATAAAAAAGGAGGAGAGATAAAGACGATAGATGTTTGATAGGAAAGAATGAGCAAACCACACCAGAGCACCGCCGACCACCCACTTTTAGTACTGTTTGCGACACCATTCTAAACTGGTGTTGTAATTGAGGAATTTTCACTTTATAATACAGTGCTGTAAGTGTTAACATTAGGCTCAGAATTATTTTTTTTATGTCCTTGTGAAAATTCCAGTAAATAAAATTGAGGCACATAAAAATATCATTGCAACAGAAACTAGATCCACTCCCACCTTGCCTTGCCATTTATACTAAATGAAATGGAATCAATTGAAAACTCAACAAACATTACAAAATGAAATATTCTTGGCAAATACAAATTGCCTTACCATCATCCACAATCCAGTCATCATCTTGTCTCTGTTTGACCAACTCAGAATATTCCCCTTCCTCAACAACGTCGTACACATTTTGCTCTTCTTCAATCTGAAACGGCAGAATACATTTGCGTAAGAACCAACTATTTCTTAAAATCGTGAGAAAAAAAAGCATCAATCAGGAATGCTGCTAAGACACGCCTACAGAGAACATGCAGGGCAAACCACAAACAGTAACAAAAAAAGTCACTGAAAGAAGTTGGAGAGAAGTGGGCTAAGAATTAGGTCTACATCATAAAAAAACTAACATTATTTCAGATATCAATCAATAAATCTTTTCATAAACAGAAACAATCACTGTAAGAGAAAATTGTGAAAAGCAGGCAAAGCATTAGCCCTACATTATAAAAATTAAAACTTTACTTCAGAAATCAAACTTTCTTTTCCCAAGTCAAGAACGAGTGTGAAAGTGGTCTCACTTCTTTTTAGCCAAACATTTGAGCCAACAGAAATCTCATGAAATAAATCAAAGATACACACGACATGTTTATTTTAAAAAACCCGAGATAAGTGAGCAGACATTCTATTTTGCTAATTTGCAAGTAACATGATCCTAAAATGCAATGTTGCCAAGTGATGTTTGAGAAAATGACCTTAGTCCGAAACTCCCTTGAAACCGTCTTTTCAGATGTTATTCTTCATCACCGCTTCCAAATATCTTGTAATTACCTCATATTTATTCTTCACTCCTCCCTCTTTGGCCTTTCTTAGTTTTTCAAATGCTGACAATCGTCCTTTCTTGTCCACTTTTTGCCTGCGAGATCTACCCTGGGCCAGAGACAAATTCCCAGCATCTGCCAAAAAAAAAAAAGCACAATTAACAGCCATGACAGGGATGGATTATTAAAATCATACAAACAGTTCTACCGTTAACAATTGAATCTTTTTTTTTTAAGTAAGTGTTACAGCATTTGCAACACAAAATCATATAGATCTAGATCTAGATTAGATCTAAGTGCCGAAGATCGTGTGTTACAAGAAAATAACAAAAAGAGGAGGGGAGAAAAACGATAGATTTTTATAGGAAAGAAGGAGCAAACCATACCAGAGCACCCGCCAACCACCCAAGGTTGAGAATGGAAAATATTTTTTACTGCACTTCTGGGCAGTAGCAAAGAACAAGGAACCCCTTGCACAAGTAGGCTACTTACAATTGTTTAGTAAATGTGACAGTCAAAACCCAAACCTACCAAACTTGAATTAAATTTTAAACGTAACTGCAAAACCATTACTTTCTGGAGGGAAAAACGTGTGTGTCCCTCTTCAGCACCCTGGATTTTTCCCTCAGAGATGCCATGTCATACGGGAACCAGTGAACTCGTCACACTGTGAAGTCGTTCCAGCTGAAAAACGAGTTCACCGGCAAAAAAAAGTATCCAAATAACAGTGAAGGACTGAAGGGCACTCTTCGGGAGAAGTGGTCCTGACCTAACGCCTTACAAATTGATACATAGATCTAATATCTAGATCTATGTACACACAATCGGAAATAAAAACGGAAGTAGACTAAAGCTGGCGTAACAATGGGTTTGGGACTTTTCTATAGAAAACAGTTGAGAAGATGGATCTGAATTTGCGATAAGATTTACAGATCTAGAATCTAAAGCTAGATCTAAATCTAGATCTAGATACAGATCTTGATCTAGATCTCTAGATCTAGATCTAGATCTAGATCTAGATCCTTGTTTAGATTCTACAGAAAGGCGACGACAATTTAAAAAGAGCCGAGGTTTTGCAAGTCCTTGTTATTGATTCTATTATTTAGCCCTATTATTCTCTAAGTCCAACTGGAAAAAAAAATACTTGCAAAATCTCAATGTTTCTCTGCGCAAGGCACAGATGAAAATACAGCCTTGAAATGATAACATTTGTCCATCTCAAAGGAGAAAATTCATCGTCTCTCGTCTTCATGACAAAGCCAGTTGAGTCATCGGTGACTGGGCGTTAGAGAAAAAAAAGCGCTTGCCTTCGAACACGAGTGGCCGACCACTGACACCAATGTTTGTAAACACTAAATAATACGTCATACGTAGGACTGGAACATCAACACTGACTCCGCGAATTGATCAAAACATGATGCATCCTACTAAACATATTTATTCGCCGAAAGCAACAGCTTTGAAAAGTAACTTACCATCACTTTCTTGAGCACTTTTCTCTCCGTCTTTCGCAGGCGCCATTTTCCCGGACTTTTCTTTGTGTTTCGCGCGAGGTTTCCAGGGGCAGGTTACTCTTTGGGCAACTCTTTATGAACCCGCGAATGGAGAGTTATCGTCCGCGTTCGGTTCGATTCTTTGTTTCGCGCTTCGATTTGTAAGGCCAACACAAAGTAGTTCGTTGCTTTACGGATATCGCTACGCTGGCTAAACCAAAAGCGCGCCAAAAAAAAAATACACATGGATGGACTAAGGATAATGGGGGAAATGCCTCGGATGAGTAATTCCATTCTACAACTACAGGGCCATTTCTCTTTCGTGTTAAACTAGCTCCTTGAGTGTCTAGATTCTAAACTGAAAAGCAAATTGTCACGTTTTTAGAACTGAGGCTTATTTTTACTTTGTTCAAGGTCACAAGTTCCGTGTCAGAGTGCCGAGTTGATCAAAACATAAAGAGCGCACAATCACAAAGAACTGGCTGTGGTGAGCCTCTCCTCAGTTGATGACAAGCGCAGGTGTGAGAACCTGGAAACGGGCAAATGAGTTGAATGAGTGGGTAACTTAACCTAGCTTTTTACAGGGAGGGAGGGGAATGTGAACGAAATGCGGGTATGACTACGGAAGTGAGAGGTGGGGAGGGGGGAGGACGAGTTCGCCACAATGAAGGATTATATTTGGCCTCCTTATATTTGACTCTCGTCCATGTGTCTATACTGTGGCCCTGAAGGATTGATCAACTAGATTTATTATCATTTACATTTATTGTAACAAGACTCCGTTATAAATTATACTCAAACGGCCTATTTGGATTGGACTGAAACTGTCGATAGTTATTGATTTGTCACTGGTCATTATCAGTCGAGTTCTACAAAGAAGTAAAAGTATGTCAGTCAACGGGGCTAGTCACGGTTTTTCCTCCTCGAATAGAGAATAAAGAAAATACATGTATTCTTAGATCTAGAATTAGTATTATTTTAGACTGTTTTTCCTCTGGCTCATGGGTGGGTAGTACTTGTAAGCCAGGCTAGGCCTACAGCTGTCTGAACATTTGGAGAAGGTACAAAAAGTGAGTTTATTTAGATCTAATTGAATTTCACGATAAGTTATTTTAGTTATTTAAGTGACCCCAAATTCACAGAAGCTGTGTGTTTAATGTGGCATTACTTCCACGAAATTGCGATAATCAGACCTCCACCCAGAAAGAATGAATGAGTCACTGGTTTTATCACCGTACGTACAGCATGTTCGCGCTTACGTGTGTGTCATATTTATCGAACGTGCGATGAAAGGTTTGTTTTGTCACTGTAGTGGAACCCACAGGGAGCACGAGGCAGGGGTAGGCTACGGGAAACATGGAGATGTGTGGAAAAGGGACAAGAGAGAGATGAAGCTCAATTGGAACGAGCTTGGAAAAATGGCCCTGGACAGAGATACATGTAAATGAAAGCTTATCATCGGTCTATACCCTGCCAGGGGTGAAAGGCATTGATGATAATGAATGAAAAGTTTAAGACTTGTTTTAGTAATGACAAGCACATCTACAAAATAATGTCAATTAAAGAGCTGGGGAAACAGTAAAAAGACAGACGGGGAGAACAGAGAGAAAGAAGTAGGACTGCCTGTCATGTGCAGTGGCGACCACCAAACTCCCGCGAAAAGTAGAAGAGAAAAAGAGTAGGCCTACTATTACTACTAAAAGAAAGGGGAACTTACCACTGCTGAATTTGCATTTAATTTTTTTCTTGGCTTCTTATTGAGTTACACGAGCAATTTGATATAAATTTACTAATTTATTAAACGATATCAATAATTACTAAAAGATGAAGAGTGAGAATTGAGACAAAAATAAGGAGAAAAGCTCGGAAACAGAGTGTGTGGGGCTAAACAAGCAGATAAAGAGGAAGGATGGAGGAAAGGGGGGGGGGGGTGGCGATAAAAGAACGACAAATTGAGAAGAGAAGAGAGATGAAGACATAAATTCTCACCTGGTTCGTGTCCACCTGCATCTCTCAAGACTCAGTTGACGTCTGTGTTGTTGGCTGGCTGGACTAGTAAGTTGTAGTGTGTGGTCAAGTGGTCAAGCTTGAGACGTCTGTGGCGGGTGGCGACTTCTGATCTTCGGCCTTGCTCTCTTCGATCTCCATAATGAAAATCGAAATTGGCTCAAAATATATACCCTTATGTCACGTGATGACCGAACGCCACTTTCCCGCCAAATATTGTTAGTTTCCATCCCGTGAAATGGCGGGAAAGTTATGGTCACGTAATAGAACAGACGCTGGTCAAGCTCCCTCCTGGTCAAGCCCTCTTTACTCTCTACAACAAAGGATTCTTATGGCCGAACTAGTGGACCTGAGAGAAAAAAATATCGATTTTTTTTCTTTCTTTCTCCGCCTGGGTGACAAACAAAGGATACTCTCCTGCCATGCAATCTGTCGTAACCACCGACCATCTTGGCAGGGGAGGGAGGAAGGGGTACACACACGGTGGCGGCAGCAAAGCGAGGAACGTCCCAGTGCGTGTCGTTATCGTGGTAGATAGAACGTTTTCGCTTTCGAGCGCGCGGTTCAGCGTAGGTAGATGTAGGAGAAGAGAGGCTGGCGGGTGGGCCTGTGTGTGAAGTGCCTGGAGGGAGGGGCCAGAGTGAGGGAGGGAGGAGGAGGGAGATAGTCGCTCGTTGGCACAACAGTGAGGAAGGAGGCTAGCTTAGACGAACGAATTGTGCCAGTGGCAGAGGCAGACTCGCCGCCGTAGTTCCCGTCTGGTCGATTTCCATTTTCGCCCGCACTTTAGCCGCAAGGCTTTTTGCCCCGTTTAAACGAATTTGGATTTGACCTACTCAGAAAAAATGACCAAGGCGTCGGAAAGCGGTTACAATGTACTAGAATCTAGCTCCAAATCAAGCAACACTTTCTTCAGGACAAAGAGAAAAAAACGTATAATTTTTTTTTAAAGTGAACCTAGATCTACATTATGTAGGCTACTTGTTTTTTGCTTTTTTTTTCAAGTTACAATCTGAATTTCGAATGCATCCAATGTTACAGATGTAGAAACTAAATCTACAGTACAAATAGAATTCAAACTTTTGACTAGAATCTAGTTGTTTTTTTTTTAACCAGTTTTTTTTTTTAAGTTTAGTTTAGCAAGAGTTTTATTTTACGACACTTGCATCACAATTAGGCTAGATCTACATGACAATGTATTACTGTAAGTGCTGAAGTTTCCGGGTGTTGTAAGAGAGTTACGTACATACATTTTTTAAGGAGGAGGGATGAGGACAAAAGAACCACACTAAAACACCCACCAACCACCCACTTAGTACATGTACATTTTTAACAGCTGTTTGATGAAAGGGAGTCCAGCCCCTGCCAGTACGTTT